TCTGCCTCCAGTGCCCCTGCCTCCAGCAAAATCTCTCGGCTCCCATTGGCCTGTTTCCGCGAAGTCTTTCCCTCTTTTCTGGTGTCCAGAGCAGAAGCCATAGGGAGCAGCTGGCCACTTAAAGCGGCATGGGACTGCTCTGAAGCAGTTGGCTGCTCTGTGCCTCCAAGACCTGTCCAGGTGGTCCATGGGCTGCTACACGCAGCCCGCAAGCCACATCCAGTAGCTTAGTGGGCCCGTGGGCCTTATCTTGCCTACTCCTGGACTAGATGATCTAGTAGTCCCTTCTGGACTTAAACTCTACGACTCTGATGTTTTGCCAATCTTAATGTACATCAAATGATTTACAAAAAATCTATTGGGTTGCTTTAACTTTTCCCATTATTCTCAGAAACAATCACTGAATAAAGATGCTAATATGTGACTGTGTTGACAGGGCACAAATGCGTTCTCTTAAAATCTGAAGACCTACTTTCTTAGGTCTGTGCTGTCACAACTTATCTGACAGGCAAATCTCAAAGGGAATAATGCAAAGATGATGGCAGAACTGATGTGGAATATATTTTAGAAGCATATATACGGCACAACATCCTTTATATTGCTTATGTTCCTCACACAGGCATGCATCTGAGGGCAGAATATGGCTCAGTATATTTCCATAACTTTTTGATTTATTTAGGATTATGCAAAATTTAAAGCTGTATAAAGAACAGCTAGCCAAAACTCAAAAAGTAATAGCAAGATATTTTTTAAGTATATCAGAAGCAGGAAGCCTGCTAAACAACCAGTGGGGCCACTGGATGATTGAGATGCTGAAGAAGCACTCAAAGACAATAAGGTCATTGCAGATAAACTAAATGAATTCTTTGCTTCAGTCTTCCTGGTTGAGGATGTTACGGAGATTCCCAAACCTGAGTCATTATTTTTAGGTGACAAATCTGAGGAATTTTCCCACTTTGAGATGTCATTAGAGGAGGTTTTGAAACAAATCAATAAACTCAACAGTCACAAGTCACCGGGAACAGATGACATTCACCCAAGAGTTCTGAAAGAACTCAAATGTGAAATTGCGGAACCATTTACTATGGTTTGTAACCTATCCTTTAAATCAGGTTCTGTACCTAATGACTGGAAGATAGCTAATGTGACTAGGGATGTAAGCGACTAGTCGACTACTCCATAAGCATAGGCTTATCGGGGAGTCATGTCAACTAGTCGCTTCCCCCTTTGCTGCCTCTGATGGGGGGGAGGGGAGTCTGGGACTGCCTAAGCTCCTAGTCACCATTTCAGGGACAGGGGAGCTGCAGCCTTACTTACCCACAGTTGCTGAGTTTTTTTCTTTTTGTTGACTAGGCAAAGTTCACAGCCTGCTCTTGCTCTTAGCTGCCCAGGGGAGGGCAGAAGAGGAAGGACACAGGCTATTCACTTTGCCTTGCTCTCTAGTCAGCAAACAGAAAACACTCAGTGACCATAAGTGAGGAGATAAGTGCAGCTGCAGCCTCCCTCTGCCCCTCCAACCCAGCCCTCTCCTCATATACCCCAATCTTGATTCCTGCCTTCCCTTCCCCAGTCATAACTCCTGTACCCTTCCACACACCCCAACCCCTTGCTCTGAAACTCCTCCTCATACCTCCTGCCCTGAGTTCTTCATACTCCCCAATCTTAACTCCTCAAAAAACAAAGTTTACAGGATCTTGCGCAAAACAGGGTTTTTCCGACAAATGGCCCCGGCTACACCGGGCTTTTTATCGCAAAAACCTCTTTCGCAAAAAGGATCGGCAGAAGATATGCAAATGAGAGTGTGACATAGGCAAACGAGCGCTCCATTTACATTTCCTCTTCCGCAAAAAAACCCGCCGTGTAGCTGTAGCCTGAAAGTCACCTGACTATTGCTGTAGCTTCCCTTGACAATCCCAGCTTAAGTAACAATGCCTCACCATTCCCTTTACAAAGCATGGTGAATTTAGGACAATGTCGGCCAACCTACCTGCCCCCCTGCCCTTAGTCCTCCAAAGTGCGG